CATCCACCCACCCACCCACCATCCATACATCCCCCCTTTCAATAAACACGGAGACAGTAATCAAGAAAGTCCAGTCTTTCTCCTACGGAGCTGCTGGTGGTCTCCACCGGCCTCCAATCACCATGGCACCCCGGGGCTCCTACGGGACGATCCAGGGGGCTGATAAGAGCAGATCTATACCTAGTCCTAGGAGTCCCGGCCGCCTGGTGGTTACCCATCGGGCTGCCAGTTGCAAGGTCGGCAGTTCGGAACCACCAGCAGCTCCGAGGGAGATGGGGGCTTTCTACTCCAGTAAAGAGTTATAGCCTCAAAAACAGATAAATAAAATGGGAGTGGGGGCAGTTCAACCCTGTCCTACAGGGTTGCTGTGAGTCAGGTCGGCGCAGGCTGAAGGCCCGGGGGCTCAGGAAACATGGTGGCAGCATGGCCCTGAGCCAGTTGGGGGCAGTGCCCCCGGGCAAAGAGGGACTGAGCGCACTGGGGAGGTAGAGCCAGGAGTGTCCACTGTCCCATCGGTGCGTCCGTCAGTTGGCTATGGGGTTGAGGGTGGAGGTGATGGCAGTGTCTTGCCTGAGCTGAGAGAGGATGTTGTAGCCCGCCCCGTCCTCAGAATACTCAGGATTGTACGGGGCAGGGACTGGTCCAAGGACAGCTTCAAGGAGAGGTGGTGGGGCTGCAGGCAGGGTCCAGCAGCCACAGATGCCCAGAGTGGACAGCAGGTAGGAGAGGGGAGGAGGGCCTGTTTGATTCCCAGGAGGGGCGAGCAGTGCCGGAGGGGGGAAAGCATAGCTGGAGGGGATAGGGCAGCTTCTTGGGGGGAGATCCATCTCAGCAAGCTGTGTGCTGGCAGAATTTAACAACAAAGGGGGCTTTCTGAGTCAGCCTGTGGCAGTCAGCCTCCCCCCACCCCAGTTGCCCGGCTCACAGTGACTGTGTGTCCAAAGGAGAGCTCAACCCAACGGGGTTTTCTAGGGCTAGTTTTTGGGAAACCAGGTCTTTTTTCTGACAGGATTGACCTTTTGGTTGATAGTTGAGTGCTTCGACCCTTGTGGCTCCCGGGAATCCTGGGCTGTGCCAGGATGGCACCATTCACCTCCTGGCTCCCATCTAGACCTTGAAGGGCCTGACCGCGCTCGCCACCCCAGGGGCCCGGAGAACGTGCTGGGATGGCTCCATCGGTCAGAGTTCTAAGGTGGCAGAGAGTGGAGTGAAGCAGACGGCAGAACTGTAGGACAGCGGGGTTCCTTTCTCTGTACAAAGTGGTCAAGTTCAAGAGAGGGCCGCCGGCAATGCTAGCACAGGACAGATCCCGGAGAAATCTAAAAATCCCCAATTCACTGCCATCGAGAGAATTCCCATTCACAGCGGCCCTACCGGACAGGGTAGAACTGCCCTTGGTGGGACTGTCACTCTTTACAGGAGTAGAAAGGACAGTCTGGTCTTCCTCCCCCGGAGGGGCTGGTGGTTTGGAACAGCTGACCTTGGGCTGAGGAGCCCGAGGGGTAATCACGACTCCACCAGGGCTCCTGGCTCGGTTTTAGTGCAGGACAAGCCCAGGAGAGGTGCTCCCTCGATTCTGCAGAGGGAACGCCTCGACTCAGTTTGCCTTTGCCCACTTCACGGGGCAGGTGGCCCTGGCTCCCCTCCCCTAGCTGGGTGCTCCGGAGAGGAGGGGACAGAATCCTCGTCCTTGGAGCCAACTCTCCTGCGCTTCCTCAAGGGAGCCAAGGCAGAGAAACCAAGGCCATCTCCGAGCATGCAGACCCGGGACCGACTGTCAAGGAACACCTCCCAAGCCGTTCCCGCTATTGACGTGGTTGTTCTGGAAGGTTCTCGGACTCATCCCAAGCAGGACCGCCTGGCCGTGGCCACGTGGGAGTGCAGTTAGGTGGCATCACCGAGCTTTCACCATGGCCTGGTGCTAGGAGCAGACAGCAGTGCCCGCTGCCTCCCTCATCAGACACGGATCAGTACTCTGTCCCCGTGGGATCGGGAATCTGAAGTGGCCAACAAGGGCAAGCTTGTACCGTTAATTTATCTACATAGAACCATATTTAATATTGTATCCCTCAGGTTAGATATTTTTGTCTGCTGTCTCTTAGAAAGCATCCCAGGGGCCCTGCCTCCCCTTTGCCCTTCAGCGGGGCTTTCGGATCACTCGGGATACGCTGCTGTAGCCATCCTGGAAAGCTGTGACCCTCCGAGAGAAATGTTTCTTTGGACAAGCGCATGCATCGTGGTTCTGGAGTGGCGGCGGTGGGGACACGGCCAAGGCCTGTGGAATGAGGGGACTCCCACCTGCTGTGTTCCTGAACCCCGGTGCTTGGGGCCGGCTGACTGGGCGGTCCCGTGACTGTCCCATGGGAAGGGCGGGGCGGGGCCAGGTTGAGTCCGCAAAGCCACCACGGGCACAGGAGGTGCCTCATTCAGGACCTGCCAATAAACCTGCTCAGAGTGAGCTCGGTGTCTCTCCCCTGCCCGCCCGGCTCACCTGAAACACCAGACCCGGAGGCCCAGCGGGCCTGTAAAGATGGGAGGCATGCGGGGCGTCCCGTCTGCTCTGGCTTGTTAGCAGCCCCGACAGCCCAGGGTTGATGCTGGTGAGGCCAAGGTCACTCTTAACCGTTTTATTGGCAAGTAATTTACATGTCATACAATTCCATAGCTCAATCGTTCAATCAGATCAATTTTAGTACAGTGGCCCCCACATCAGCCTTAGAGCCCTCCCCGCCTCCGTGGCTCAGTCGCCCCCTTTAGGATGACGGATGCAATCATAATCTGTTCTGCTGCTCCCTCCCCGCTCAATTTCCCCCC